TTATTATTCATTTAATTTTATTTCCTTTTTTTTATTGCAGGCGTACACATCACACGTGGCAACATGGGGAGTTGGAGCATGCATGAAAAGAAAAATAAACCCTAAGGTGTATGGTTTTGGCGGCAGAATAAAGAGGGAAAAGATATTTTCACCCACTTTATGTCCAATCATATATTTCTCATTGAATACAAAAATCTTCTCCCTTCGTGTAAGGACAAAACTACCCCAAAACCACCCATAACCTTCCAAAGAAAAAAAAACAGTCCAACCTCATCTTCTTTATCGTACCTCACTATCTCTCTACCAAACAAGAAAAATTTTCTTTCTCTCAACAAAATCCTCCCCATCGCCACCACTGATTTCACAACATTAACCAAGTACAATGGTACAATCAAGGAAAGCCTTAGCCTCAACACAGAGTTTCGAATGTTTCCAAACAACCGAAGCAGAAGCACGCTACAAAATCCTTCAGAAACGACAAGTATATTTGGAAGATGGATTCGTCTTCCCAACCGAAGATGAGGAACCGTTTCGACCATAAGTGATGGACGTGATACAGAAACACAACTGAGAGAAGTTAGCTCACCATCCCAAAGCCGTAGCACCAACGATGGTAGGGGAGTTATTCGCCCATCTCGAAGACTCGTCTAACCATACAGTGTACGTCCGAGGGAAGCTCCTTCGATTTTCCCCTTCAGAACTCAATATATACTTTAATTTGGGGAAAGTAGAGGAGCAACACAATAGATTCGTGGCTGAGGCGGATCAAGAAACGTTTAACAAAGTGCTAGAAGATTTATGCTTTGGGTGGGCCAAGTTCAAAGGGAACACCCAACGAGGAAAAGAGTAGATCACCGAGCCCTAAAATCGAACGTGAAGTTATGAAACCATTTTCTCAAAGGCAAGCTGATGCCAATATCTCACAACACCACTGTCCTCGTGAAAAGATTGATGCTCTTGCACTCGATCATATACGGGAGGAAGATCGATTTTGGAGAACTCATATTCGAGCAAATCCATGAATGTGCCAAAAGGAACCGGGGTAACCTATTGTTTCCCAACCTGATTACCGCATTGTGCAGGAAGAAGAAGGTTCTTGAGGAGCCCTTTGAGTATTTCATTAAATCCAAGGAGGGTATCACCAAGAAGAAGGTACCCAAGTTGATGAGTTTCGACGACGATGCCTCGCATGAAGGTTTGGAACGGGGAGCAAAATCGGTTGCCGCGGCTAGAATGGCCGTTGTGGTCACGCACACTCGAAAAATGCATGAAAAGATCGGACGCCTGGAGGATCACATGGAAATTTACTTCGAGTATGTCAAGGATAGGAACATACAACTCAACGCCTTCTTCAAAGAGTTGCTCCCGAACACTAACTCCAGACTGCCGACCTTCCCCAGTGTCATCCTCAAATACAATGCGGGCAACATCATATACCATGCCTCGACATCGCATGTCCCTCAAGAAGTTCCCCCAATAGTGCCCACTGATGTGCCACCACTGGAAACCTATGTCCCACCCGTACCAGAAGAAGGCCAAGGCGACACAGAAGTGTTCCTTAGCTCATCATCTTTTTCCACCTCTGATAGCAGTCAAGATACCCCATCCAATTTCTTCTCCGATGAATATTTCACTCTAGCACCGAAGTAACTCGAGCAAGATACCCCGATTCATCAAGCAACGCCAATCCTAGCAGCATCTCCAAGTCCAACACTAGTTTTAGCACAACCGACTCCTACTGCCGAGCAGTCAACTACAACACGAGCCTCGACCAGTAAGAAGCGCTATAAGAGAACTGCAGGTCGTATACTTCATCCCTCTCCCTCGATGACAGCAGCAGTAGACTCGGGATCCGAGAGTCCATCTCCTCTCAAACGACACCGAACGAGTGCGTCCAGTCAGCCACCCCACCATAGTGAGTTTTCATTTAGTTTTAGTTTTTTTTTAATTTTTTTCACATCTGCATATAGAAACATGTAGTTTTAGTTATCATGCATTGAGGATAATGCATCCCTCAAGTTTGGGGGATGTATTGTACCATATTGTGCCATGCTTTGTTAAATAGCAGTTGATGATAATTGGTTGAAAATTTTGGTTATCATGAAAAAAGCAGGTTAAGATTATTGTTAGGAATGAATTAGGGATGCCCAATGATGAATGCATAATTTGATTGCCTAGGCTAGAATTATTATAAGACTGTCTAAGGAAAAGAATCAACCCTAGGCCTGATTCTTTGAAATTTACAATGATTGTGGGCTGTCCTTGTTTTAGGTAATCATTAAAACTTTTGGTAAAGACTTTCAGCTTGCCGAGACTTCAAAAATATTTTAAAGGTAAAGTGAAAACTCTTTAGTGTTTAAAAACTTGAAAAATAAAAAAGGGTCACTCCTCTGTACAAAGGCAAAAACTGAAAAATCCATAAGAAAAAAGAGTAGCCAAGGCATATGAGTGAATGAAAGTAGTCATAGGTTGACTCTGCCCGACTAGCTTGGGGGTGGAAGGTATGCTCCCTTTCACCTAGAGTGTGGAACAGTAGGTATGATGAGCTGACTCCCCTGAAATAAATAAATAAGTAAATAAAAAGGTTGATAAATAACTAGGATTATAAACCAAGCATGACAAATAATTTGATGCCTTGACAATCCAGAAGTGCTTACTTTAAGTTTTCTAATTACCTTTATGCATAGACTGGTTACAATCACGCACAAACAATAGCAAAAAATCCTGACTAGGGAAGGGACTTGACTGTTATGACTGTCGAACATGTTGAGGCCAAATATTTTTGCTGAGGGCTGAAATCTCAAACCATATGATTTTCTTAACACTGCTTGCCATGTCAATTTTGATTTCCTTCTAATTATTATATATTGCTAGGGGACAAGCAATAACTTAAGTTTGGGGGTGTGATAACTCCGTAAAAAAACTTAATTTCCAGTCTTTTCACTTAAGTTATTGCTCGTCTAAACAAAGTATGCAAATCATTTTAGTTGCATTTAGTTGCATATAGGTTATGTTAGCTTCTGGTGGATAAGTTTTGCTTCGGTAAGATTTATTTGGTTTGATTGATGGTGTTGAGGAGAAAGGGTTATTTGGATTGTGTTTGTGCAGGAAACTTACAGAGGAAGAACATTTCAGTCATGACAACGTAAATTTACAAAGGTCAATGGAACAAATAAGAACGTGAAGAGCAGATTTATTTCGTTGAGGCAAGGTTTATCTGAAGAAGTCTGAAGCAGGTGTGATGAAACCGCCTATGACACATGCTAGTTTGATAACCTACTTCCCGTGCAAGCATGCCTTAATTATTCTGACAACCACCTTTCCTTTTTAAGTCTGGGAATTTAATAACGGTTATTTAAGGAAACTCCAAAAGCATGTAAAGCCCTAGGAGATCTTTCCTTATAAATAACCAGTCGTAGCTGCCAAAGAAAAAAAGGCAAGGAAGAAGAGAGAAGAGCTTTATCCAAGGCGTGAATAAGCAACTTCAGTACTTTCCCACCGTCAACAGACCAATCTTCCTTGGTGTCCTCCATAACCAAACTTTAATAGAGAGGTGATCAGGTCTCGAGAGGGGCTGATCACACAGGCAAGCACAGTGCTAATCAGAATCGTCGCAACAGAGCTCTCAGTTTTGGGAGTCCCTCTTCCTTTGTTCTTAACTCTTTATTTATTTAGGGTTGTATTAAACGTTAAATCTTGAATGATCTTTGATAGTACCATGACTGTCTTACTTGGTGTTAAACTTTGTTTTCCCTGAACAATATTCTTATGTTTTATGAATAATGAATTATGTTTTGCTTATGACTGTTTGCTCATTGTTTAAATATTTAACCTTACGCTGTAATAGCATCGAGAGATCGCCTGGGGTTTTGGTAAAACATGTCTTGGCAATATAAGAGCATCGAGAGATAGCCTTTTGTCTAGATAGTGATTCTTAGATTCGAGAGAATTAAGATAGATCAACATGAGTAATGGAATGAATCTGGGATGATGAATTTTAAACTTGTTACCTTAGAGATAGGGAGTGAGTTTCAATCGACTAAAAGGGATAGACGCTAGAGTAGGATAAACAATGCCTATAGTTTACGCTGAGAGGTATTGCTACAACAATAGTTTGAGAAACCAAGGGTTGTAGTTAACGTTGAGGGGTATTGCCATAACAACCATCTAAGAATACCTAGTAATCCTGTCGGGTAGGTTTAACAAGTCATAATAATTCATTCTAGACTTAAAAATAATTGTTGACAATACAAATGTTTAGCATAAGTGCTCTGTGATATATCTGAATATGTGAGGTTGTTTGCATTATATTTAAATCAACACTTGTCTTGTTTTATTTTAGTATTTTGCATACTTATTTTGCCTCGACCAAACTTTTCTGGAATCATTAAATCACTTCTTCGTTTTATTAATATTAGTTCTTAAGCTGACACTTAGTAAGAATTAGTTTATGACACTAGTTCTAGTTGTGGTAAAAATATATTTCCAATCCAATCCCTGTGGAAATGATACTCACTTACCCTATATTACTTGAATCGATTATGTATACTTGCACAGATTTGCTTGCCTTAACATATACATTTCCAAGAAATCAATTGCTATTGCCTCGATTGAAATTGCCTACATAGTTGATGGACTTAAGATTAGTTTGGCACACACTCTCGTGGTGATTTCCATGGCATAATAAACATGCCAAACTAGCTGCCTTCACTTTCTTCACCTCAGTAGAGTGTTGTAGCTTCTTTAACATATTAGTAATAGTTGATAGTTGAGCAGACACTGAGTCATTGGCATCTAACTCAAATACCCCAAGTGTTCTTATTCCAATTCCAAGCGTTGAGGAAAGAAAATGATAATCATTGTTGGCAATCCTATCTATAATAGAAAATGCCTCAATAGGTGATTTTTCAAGAAATGTACCATTTTTTGAGGCATCAAGCATTATACTCATGGGTGCATTGACTCCATTATAAAACATTACCACTTGAGTTCAGTCTTGAAAACCATGATTAGAACATTTGTGAAGCAAACTCTTATAATGGTCCTAATATTCATATATAGATTCTTCATCATCCTGATGAAAGGATGATATGTCATTCCTTAGCTGAGTGTTCATGTTTGGTGGGTTATAGCATAACAAAAAGCTTTTACAAAGATCAACACATGACTCCATCGAACCAGATGAAACACCACTCAACCAAGCCCTAGCTTGGTCACGCAAAGAGTATGAAAATATCTTTAACTTCAACATATCTTATGCACTCCTTGTTGGCAGAAAGAATCACATACCTACAAGAAATTGTGAATATTTTGTCTGGCATCTTTATTTGGCATGCCCCTAAATTGCCCTATAGAATTCAACATGTTGAACATTACTGTTTTGAGCTCAAAATGGGTTGCCTGAATTTCGTATGCCACAATCTCAGGGTTTAGATCATCCACAGTAGGATTGAAGTGATCATGAATAGCACGAGGCCTAGCAGCAGACCCAACGTTGGGAATTACCTTAGCATTCTGATCTTCCTCTTGACTAATGCCTTGATTTCATAATGCATACATGTTTCTTTGAACACGTTGATCACGTCTTCTTTGTCTAAAGAATCTTTCAATCTCAGGTTCAATTAGTATCAATGGCTCATCAAAATGTCATTTGGTTATACACCAAGTAAGCCTGAAAAAGATAAAGTAAAATATCAAGTAAACTATACAATAATAAAGAAGCAAAATAAAATGTTGTGACAAACTAATTAACTTCACGTTGCCAATCCCCGACAATGGTGCCAAAAAGTTGTTGCGTGTTATACTATAAATTATACACAATTGATGTACAAGTATACACAATCGCAAAAGTAATATAATGATGAGTGAGTATCGTCCTTAGGGATTGATGGAGTTTAAGAGTTTGGTCATAGCAATACACTAAATTACCTAAGTATAGTGATGACATTTACACTGATAATGCTTAGGTAAATGAATTACGAATGTAAGGTGGAATGATGGTGAGGAAATATGAATGAGTGAACAAATGTGATCTCGTGGCAATGGAGATGTTTACAGTATGATTAAGTGAAAATGTTAAAGCAGTGCAGATTGGTAAATACACAAAATAAATGAAATAACTTGATAATCCTCACACAGGAAGCTTTTATGGGAATGAATGGTGGGGAGTAACATAGGAAGCTTAAAACTTATCTCTTAAGCTGATCTAGTCTTCTAATGCCTTATTTGTTTGACAAAGTTTACTAAAGATGATCTATGCTATCTCTAGTCTAAGAACATAACATAATAAGATGCCACATAATCTCTTCTCAGTCTGAGCAGCAGCATACTAAACCATCGATTATGCTTTACCCCTCTTAATCATTGAAATCCTATCTTAATTTCTCTCGAATACTAAAGGATTATGATATAGTGATTAACCACAACCCATTGCTTATGCTAATCGTACTTTAATTTCCCTCAAATACAAAAGAATTAGTGACTATGTTTCTCTTGAACACAGTCTTCTACTTAAGAAATGGACACTCTTATGGCTCCTGCAATATTAAAAGACTAAGAACTCATAAGTAAAACAAGTAATAAGTAAAAGAAAACATTAGTCAACCATTAAAAACAAAATTTAATGCATCCATCAATGAACTCCACCAAATATAGTCTAGTTCATGGTGGGGTTTGAATAAACCATGAAAAATCCCCAATTTGTTCATTCGTTCCTTACAACCCAATCGAAGATCAATCATAAAATGGAGTAAAGGTTGGAGAAGAAAGTACTAGATATGTACGACCGACACTTGCTTCGAACCACCACGAATGGCCACAGCGCCTCGCCCATCTCGGATGCAAACGCCACTCCCTCGAGCTTTCACTAATGGAGGAACAACACTAAAAATGGATAGGAAAAAGAAAAACGAAGAAGTCAAGCTCATTAATAAAGGAAGAGAGAGTTAGGGAAGATGATGAATTAGATTCCCTCCAAAATTATGTCATTTTCTTTATAAATCTAAAGAATGTACTTAGGGAAATTTTTCCAAAATTCCCATCATAACCCCAACTACACTCCAAATATATGAAGATTGATTCCATAGGTGGCAGTGGGTCCCATTCAGGTGGTTACTAGAACCAATCACGTGCTAATAACAACTATCAATTGTAAAAATATCTTTTTGTCCTTTTCTGCGCCAGAACTACCAAGGCATTGCATTCTGCTTCAGTAAGTTATGATGCCGCCTCATTCTTCTCTTTTTGCCTTATGCTCCTTGTTTCCTGCACATCAACAACCAACCAAACCTTCCCTATAACATAGCATTTTTAGAAAATAATATGCCAAGGCAAAACACATCCACCAAATATAATTGTATGAATATAAGTGCATCTAAAATGAACCTATATGAGCCTTTAGACAATTAATACTTAAGAGAAAATGCCCTAAATATAGCATTTTTATGGAGTTATCACCTCTCCTCAGTATCGATACCCCAACTTTGATGCATTAAAAGAAAAAGGGGAGTATCGATACTAATATAGGAGTATCGATATTGGGACACTTGGGTATCGATACTCCCAAGAGTACTGATACCAAAATGGCATTATGGAATTTTGATCTCAATACCAAGCTCCTTTGTCTCGATACTGAACCCTCAGTATCTATACTCCTTTATGGGATATCGATACTGTTCTTTAAAAACTCTCAATTTAAGCTTTCCCTTATGAACAATATCGATACTTCTTCATGCAATATCGATACCGACCCTTTAAAATGCCTTATTTGGGAACGAATTTGCCCCTTAAACTCCCCAAATTTTCTACCTTAAGGTTTCCCAATTATTTATTAAGTCTTATGTGATTACAGGGGGTCATAAATAAGGCTATTCAACATGCTACACATGCCTTTAGCACATCCTTTAATATCTGAATAGTCCGCTCTGACTGACCATCTGTCTGCGGATGAAAAGTTATGCTGAAATTCAATCGAGTACCCAAGGCCTTTACAAAGAATTTCAAAATCTTGATGTAAACCTTGGATCTCTGTCAGATAGTATCGATACAGGCACTCTATGCAGCCGAACTATCTCTTTTATGTACAATTCAACATATTGATTCATCGAATAATCTTTTCGTACTGGAATGAGGTGAGATGTCTTGGTTAATCTATCAACAATCACCCAAATAGATTATTTCTTGTTGAGTGTCAACAGTAACCCTAAAATAAAATCCATAATGACTTGTTCCCACTTCCATTCAGGAATGAATATCGGTTGTAGTAATCCGAAAGGAACTTGATGCTCAGCTTTCATTTGTTGACATGCCAGGCATTTTGCAACAAACTCTACGATAGCTCTTTTCATGCTAGGTCACCAAAATCGACTCTTTATGTCTTGATACATCTTATTTCTGCCTGGATGCATATTCAATGAACTGTAATGTTCCTCGAAGAGAATATATTTCTTTAGTTCTTCATTAACTGAAATGCAAAGTCTTCCATGATAATATAAACATCCATAAGTCCTGACTTTAAAGTCTTTACTCTCGTCTTTTTCTACTTATGCAATTATTTCGAAAAACTTTTAATCTTTTCCTTGCAACTCTTTTATCCGATCCAAAAACATCGACTTTAACTTTAGCTCAATAATCAAGGCGCCATATTCCTTAACGATAAACGTGCATCCAAAACTCGTAAAGCTACAAAAAACTTTCGACTAAGCGCATCAACAACCACATTAGCCTTCGAGATGATAATCGATGACCATATCATAATCCTTTAAAAGCTCTATCCATATTCTCTATCTCAAGTTTAACTCTTTTTGAGTCAACAAGTACTTTAGGTTGTGATCCGTATAAATATAACACCGCTCACCATACAGATAATGACACCAAATCTTTAAAACAAACCAGACTGCTGTAAACTCTAAATCATGCATCGAGTAATTCCTCTCATGAGTCTTTAACTGGATCGAGGCATAGGTCACAACTTTACCTTCTTGCATAAGCACACATCCCAAGCCGTTATGAGATGCATCAGTAAAAAACCACATAATCTCTACCCGACTCAGGTTGTACAAGCACTGGTGCATCTGTTAAAATCTTATTTAGCGTTTTAAAACTCTCTTGGCACTTCTCCATCCAAATAAAAGGCATAATTTTCCTCAATAGTTTGGTTAGCGGTGAAGCTAACATCGAAAAGTTCTTCACGAACCTTTGATAGTAACCAATAAGTCCCAAGAAACTCTGAGCCTTAGAAATATTCTTTGGAGGCTTCCACTCCACTATAGCTTAAATCTTCTTAGGATCTACCCTTATGCCTTCTGTCGAGACAACATGGCCAAGGAAAGTGACCTCTGTCAACCAGAATTCACACTTGGACAACTTGGCGTACAAATTTCTCTCTCAAAGAGTCTAAAGAACAATATGAAGATAAACATCATGCTCCTCCCTTGACTTTGAATACGCTAAAATATCATCAATAAATACCACCACGAACTGATCTAGGTAATTCTGGAATACTCAGTTTCTCAAATCCATAAACGTTGTCGGGGAATTAGTCAAACCGAATGGCATCACCATAAATTCGTAGTGTCAATACTGAGTCTGAAAAGTTATCTTTGGAATATCCTCATCTTTAATCTTTAATTGGTGGTATCCAGACTGAAGATCAATCTTAGAGAACACTATTGCGCCTTTCAATTGATAAAAAAACTCATCAATCCTTGGAAGAGGATACTTGTTCTTTATTATTACTTTATTTAACTATCGATAATCTACGTATAATCACATATACCCATCTTTCTTTTTCATATAAAGCACAGGTGCTCCCCAAGGTGAAAAATTAGGTCTGATGAAACCTCGATCAAGTAGTTCCTGTAATTGGGCCTTTAATTATCTTAGCATAGTTGGGGCCATTCGATATGGAGCCATAAAAATAGGTTTAGTACCCGGATAAACATCAATCTTGAATTCCACCTCACGATATGGAGGTAAACCCGTTAATTCATCTGGAAATTCTCAAACTGTTGGAATATCATCCAAACTCACTTCCGATATTTGAGTGTCTATCACATTAGCCAGAGAATATATGCATCCTTCCGACATCATTTTCATGTAGTCATTGCTGATAT